GAAACTTCCTGACAGTGAGAACAATTAACCAGTGGAACAACCTGCCTCCAGAAGCGGTGAATGCTCCAACACTGGAAGTTTTTAAGAAGAGACTGGACAGCCATTTGTCCGAAATTGTATAGGGTTTCCTGCCTGAGCAGGGGGTTGGACTAGATGACCTTCAAGGTCCCTTCCAACTTTACTATTATTATTATTATTAATATGGGGGACCTGTTTCCCATCAATCAGGGATCTCCCCACTCTTGGGCCAGGGCATCCTACTGGGCCCCTGAAGAGCCCAGAGAGGACCTCTGAGAGGCAGGAGAAGCTGCCGTCCTGCAAGGGGACCAGGAGGGCTTCGGACGACCACTGTGCTCCTGTCTCCCAAAGGGCCCCTGGATGAGGCCCAGAGACCAGCCACTCGGCCCTCAGCCTGAGGCAAAGGTGGATCTGAGGGAAAAGCCGCCTCTGTTGCTGCCCCCATCAAGCCAAGACCAAGCGGCCATTTTGCGGAAGATCAGCTGGAGATGCTGGAGAAAGATCCGGACCCAGGAGCAAAATGGCTGCCTCCTCCCCAAGGAGCACACAGGAGCACCCCCCCCAGTTCTTGCCCCTTCCAGGTTTTGCCTTGGTTCCTCCCCTTCCTACCACTAAAAGCGAAATTGGTCTTTCTGAGCAACAAGGAGAGTAAAATCCCTCCTATTTCCAATCTCTTCAAACAGGCAGCAACTCAGGTGAAAAGAAAACAAAAGCGTTTATTTTCAGCAAACAATTTTGACAAACTTACAATCTAAGTGCAGTTATTAAAGGAGCCAGCAGCCTGGCTGTGCAATGGATCTCATGGTCAATTTTTCTAAAGCATGAAAATCCATAAATGGCAATTATAAAAAAAAAACAGTGTCTGAATGTTTCACTCGTTATACTGATTATCTGTCAAACTTTGAACTATCACATATATTCTCAATTAACTGTGCAATAATCAATTGAAATGCATCAACGATTTTAGTGACAAACATCTCAGAATGCACACTTTTTTCTTTTAGTAATAGTTTCATCGAAGATAACATTTAAACTTATAAAACTAACACAAGGAAAAAAAGAAATACCCACCTTTATCCCCAACAACTATAATGAAAATTAACAACTTATACATCTCTCTTAAAATAAAACCAAGAAACTCTTCATCCTCTCCCTCACCCCGATCCCTATAAACCCACCTCTGAAACCTCATCTCTAACCTCTAATCTCAATCCATTAAGATTAATCAGCAAAAGCCCATTAAGGGCGTTATGCAACCTACCTATTATAAACTATGATCTACAAAACCCAATTTGAAATCTTTTGATTCCACAATTAGTAACACATAATCTATTCTTTTCTCCTCCATTCCTCAATCATAATAAAAAAAGTTACTGATTCTGTGATAAAAGCAATGATGAAAGACCCCAAATATATCTAATTCAGAAGAAGGTTGATCCTCAATTCTTTCCTCCCTCCTTAGGCTGGGAGTCTCCATCGTGCTGCAAAGAAGAGGGGAAGAAGCATCCAAGGGTTAGTTATATCCAGACAGTCAGAGCCTGAGAGACGCCAGAGTTTAAGAGTTGGGGGGGCAGGCAGACCCCTCCCCAGAGCCCCAATGCCTCTTCCCCCAAATTCCTTCCCTTCCAGTGTTTGAGATGAATAGGAGAGAGAAGAGGGATTTCCCAAAGTATCTTCACCATCAATTGGGGTCCTGGGACCTGAAGGCCTTCATCTCCCTCCCTCCCTCCCTCTCCCCCCATGCAGCCCCCACCAGTCCACTCACCTGCCAGGGGGCTGCTAAGCGGTCTGGTCGCTCCCTGCATGGGAGAGAAAGACACAGAGTGAATCTACTATTCCTTGCCCTGTCAGGAGGACAAATCTCTCTCTTCGCCATTCAACCTCTGCAGCTTCACGAAACTCTCCGAGGAGACCAGGCCTTTTATTCATTTATTATTAATCTTCTGTGTCACCCATCTCTCTCCAAGCAACTCAAGGCAGCTTCCAGTAAAATTCAATAAAAAGCTATGTAGAACATTTAAAACAATGAATAAAAACCAAATTCCCTCATCAGATCACGTTGCCGTTGCTCTGACAAGAAGATCATATCCGGTGTGTCACCACTGTCCTGAGTCAGGCCCAAGAGGGTCTGGGAGAGGCCCATGGCAGCCATGAACTCCTGCGCACCTTCTGAGGCCAAACCCAGGAAGGGCAGATTGAAGTCTTCCAGGACCAGAAGCCTGGGGAACTCTCTGCCAATACTAAGATGGCCCCCGGGAGCTGAGGTGTGTGTGTGTGTGGGGGGGTAGCCACGCAGCAGGGAGGCTGGTACACCAGCCACAAGCCCAACTGATCCCGTGAGCCCAGATTCAGAAACAGGGAGTCACAACCAGAAACGTGGGGATCAAGGCCCCCGAGGGCCCAGAGGGATTCTTAGAGGACCACTGCCCCCCACCTGCCCTGCCCTGGGGTCTCAGTTGGGGCTAAACCCTAATCTATGAGAGGGGAAACCCGCCCCACTTCCAAAATCAGCCAGGTCTCAGCTATGCCAGCAGAAGAGTCTCTAACCACTGGAGATCATGGTATCACCGGTGATTCCCCTATTTCCCACCAAGGAATTGAGGGCTCTCTCTCCTCCTAAGGGGGCCAGGCTCCACCAGGCAGACTCTGGGCTGCCTCCCCTGCCTGAATCCAACAGGGAGAGTTTCCCTTCTCTGCCTCAGGAACAAAGCAATGCAAGGAAAGTCCATTTTGTGACCCCCAGATGGCTTTCACGCCTAAGGTGTGTAGAAATCAAGCCAAGTATAATCTTTCAAAATATAATCTTTTACGCATAATCAATCTCTCATGTATAGCAGCTATTGTCCATTTATTTTTGCTTGCTTTCTGTATGTGCTCCACTGCATTCTAAATTGTGCTGACCAAAGAAAATGTTTCTGTTACTTTAAACGGTGTTGTTTCAAGGGAAAGCCTAGCTAAGAAATTGCAACACTTCTCTAGTCTCTCCTTGGATGGTGAATCTTTCCCTTTTCCTTTCTCTGCTGTGGCTTTAAAATATAACAGCTCCCTAAGGCCTGCAAAGTAACAAAGTTAATGGGATAATTATCAGCTATTATGCTTTTGTGTGGTTCAAGCTTAGAGATGCAGAAATGATAAGCCAGATTCAAAGCTAGATTCAATGATAAGGAGATTCAAAGGAACTTTTTAGATGCAGAAACCTTGTGATGTTTGTTGGTTTATAAAAAGCAAAAGCTTTACTGATTACTTGCTCTCCGCTCTCCATCTCCTCTGCTGTCTAAAGGAGAGTGGAGTGCCCAGCATATATTCTTTGATCAGAGAAAATAAATGTTAAGTCCGGAGAATAATGGCGCTTGAAGCAATGCATTTCCAACATGTCTTTATTCTCTGACTACAATCTACGAACAACAGCAAGCACAGGGGCACGCAGGCCTCTATATATACCCTCTGATCCCCGGGCAATTCCAACCAATAACAAGGCAGTCTTTTCCCGCCTTGTGCATGCGCGCAAGGCTGGCGCCGCTCAGTCTGGTCCCGGGCAGCTTTTGCAAATGCCCGGGACTCTTGCAACATCCCGAGCCTGCTTCTGCAGGCTCAGGACACAACACCCCTCCCCCCTAGATAAAATAATGCTGCGCCCAACATGGACGCCACCTTTAGAAGAAGGGTGGAAAGGAGACGAAGTAGCGTGGTGAATCATGTTGGCTTGTAGAAACCCCTTCTGTCGACCCAGGCAAATCGCAGCGATGTGGCCCTTCTTCCCGCACGCTCGGCAGATGGCGGAACGGAACCGACATTCCGCTCGCTTGTGGCGACCACCGCATCCGAAGCAACGAAGCTCAGCTGGGCCCTTGTCATGACGATCTTTGGACCTCCTCCCAGCTGCTTGGTAAATCTTGTCCACCTCTTCTTCAGGATCTTCTTCTGAATCCTCTCGCACGTCCTCTTTGTGGATGGTTGCAGTCTCTGGGGCGCTTTGAATGGCCGCCGATTCTTGACTGCCCCACCTGCAGCTTCCTCTGCTGTAACCTCTCGCAGAGCATCTTGGAAAGAGACATCTTCCTTGGCAAACAGCTTCTGCTGTAAGTCTCTGTTCCTCAGTCCGCACACAAAACGATCATGCAGTCTTTCCTCTAAGTCCTTGAAATCACACGGTTTAGCTGCTCTTCTCAAAGCTGCAATGTATTCTTTTGCTGATTCCCCAGCTCGCTGATCCCTCAGTTCAAATGTGTGCCTCCAAGCAATGACAGATTGCTTAGGCTGGAAGTGTTCTTTCAAAACTTTCTTCAAATCGGAGTATGACACCGTTTCTAGCGAGGCCGGGGCGATTAGATTCTCGGCGATCTCAAAGGCGTCTTGCCCACAAACGCACAACATTGTGGCAGCCTTAAGTTTAGACCTTCTTCCCTTATCTGGTTTACGCGGAAATAAGTCTCGACTCTTGCAACGTAAGATTCCCACTTCTCGGGGTGAGAGACATCGAATTCTGCTAAACGCCCAATTTTCGCCATGATCGAGGAACAGGGTTTTCTTCAGCTGCACGCACCCTCCAGCGATTCTGTACTGGCAGGATAAACGCTGACTTCAACGCCGTCGTCCCTCTTCCGGACTTCTTTTGGGTGAGTCTTCAAGCTTCCCTAGCTATATAGACTGAATCCCACCTTCGTCGCCAGTGTTAAGTCCGGAGAATAATGGCGCTTGAAGCAATGCATTTCCAACATGTCTTTATTCTCTGACTACAATCTATGAACAACAGCAAGCACAGAGGCACGCAGGCCTCTATATATACCCTCTGATCCCCGGGCAATTCCAACCAATAACAAGGCAGTCTTTTCCCGCCTTGTGCATGCACGCAAGGCCGGCGCCGCTCAGTATGGTCCCGGGCAGCTTTTGCAAATGCCCGGGACTCTTGCAACATCCCGAGCCTGCTTCTGCAGGCTCAGGACACAACAATAAAGCTGTGTTCAGAGGCCTCCTGTTCAGAGTCTCATTGGGATTTATTTATAATCTGAGCTGAAAAACCTTACAGGTGGGACTAGAACTCACCATCTCCCAGGAAGTCTCACGGTGCCCTCACCACTTAATAAAACTGACTCTATTTTAATCATTACAGCAGAACCAGACGCAGAGAGAACACAGGGAGGATGAACTAATGGGTGTAGAGATGGGGGTCAGGTAGAGGTCGGGAGCAGCAAACTGCCCCCTCCAAAGCCTGCATGCCTCTTCTCTCTACATCAGTGGTTCTCAACCTTTTTAATGCCGCGACCCCAACCGGTCGTAAGTCGAGGACTAAACCGGCCGTAAGTCGAGGACTACCCAACCGGTCGTAAGTCGAGGACTTTCCCTGCCCGGGAGCACCACGCATGTGTGGTTCCGCCCCCTGCGCCGGCCGAGGCGTAGCTGGCAAGTGGCAGAGATGGAGCAGGCCGACCACCAGCTGGCCCAGCCCAAGGGAGGTAAGGCACCCGCCAAAAAAGGGGAAAAAATGGCGGACAAAAAAAATGGCGGACAAAAAAATGGCGGACAGCCTTGCTTGGCGACCGCCGTGAAATGGTCGATCGACCCCAAATGGGGTCCCGACCCACAGGTTGAGAACCACTGCTCTACATGATCTCATCCCTTCACATCACCATGGCAATGTGGGAAACTACCCCAGGCTAGTAAAATGATCTCACCTGCCTGATATCAGCTAGGTTACACCAACAGGATGTAGCAGCAAACTGCTCCCTGTTTGCGGCCTCCTAGCTGATATCTTCTTAAGGATTGGTAAGGAGTTTAACCAATAAAATGTTATTGCTATGCTATTGCCATGTTAAACTTTTGCTGCTTGGAAAACTGTATAAAAGAATAAACGCTGCGAAGGCGGTCAGCCATATTTGCACCCTGCAATGACTGAGCACTGATTATTACAAATGGGGGGGGGGCTTTTAAAAACTGGGGGCCTCTCCCTCTTTCACTCTCCCCACCCGCCCAAAATCTTGCAAAGGGACAGAATGGCTGAAGCAGCAGCAGCAGCTCCCTCCGACTTACCGAGGCTGGAACTGCTGGATCTTCTGTCACTTGCTGGAAAAGAAAGAAAGAAAAGAAAAGAAAAGGGTGAGTCTGTCACTTTCTTGGCTGATAGATGGAGAAACTCAGCTCTTTCTGACTCCAGCTCCCTCCCTCTCTCGCACACACACACAATCAAAGACACACAACTACCTGGAGAGAGTTTGAACCAGACTGCTTGGGCTAAAAGGCACAGGAAAGAATTCCTAAAATTTATATGTGTATCAACACAGAGCGATAGTTCAGCAATTCTTGAGCCCGAGGGCAGAGCTGACCTAAAAAGATACACTTGGCTCCAAAGTCTCTTTTTATAATTTCTTCATACATAGAGAGCCTTGTGATGGGAGACCAAGAGGAGATCTAGCTGGTATCCCCCAAAGCTCCTTTTCTCTGAAAATGGCCCCTTTTGATCCCTAATTTTATGGGGCTTCTGACTCTCATTTCACCAAACCTTTCCTTTCCACCTACTTGGGAAACAGAGCAGCTTCTCAGCCAGAGGGACCTTCCACCAGCTGGGTCTTCTCATCTTCTGGAGGGTTCCTTGTCCCAGATGTTTCTCTTTGAGGACCCCACTTCCAAGAACAGCCTGACTGGGATGAAAAGGGGGCCCATCTTCCCCAGACTGGTTCTTAGGCGGAAGAGAGCATGCATGTGCCCCACATACACACACACACACACACACACACACACACACACACTCAACTGATGGTGCCTCTGGTCTCTGCTCTAAGTTGGAGATTACATGTAAAGATGACTCACTTAGTACTTTTTTGTAGTCATCTTGACGTCTCTCTGCAAAGACAAAAATCAGTGAAAGCTCGAAAGAATCCACCAGAGATCATCCAAACTCTTCTTAAGAGGAAGAACCCCAGGAGATATTTCACAGTCACTTTGTCTCATTAATAAAGACAGAAAGATCTTCAAAATACAAAAGTATCTCCTGATTTGCCCCAAGGGAGACCTGCTGCCTCCGAGATGGAGGGAGGGAAAGGGGGGAAGCAGCAGCAGCTGGGAGGGGAGGAAGATTTTCATGGAAATCCTTCTCTGCTGCTCTTTGACCAAAGACTTTGAAAGGCACAGAACTGGGATGCTTCTTCCTAGCTCAGAAGAAGACGGGACTGTCCCAACCTCAGACTCAGCCAAGTCAAGACTGGAGTCCCAGCAAGAGGCCGAGATCTCAGAGGCTCCCCAAGAGGGCTGGGAAAACAGGACAGGAGGAAGCCCTGAAGAAGCTCCCCAAAGAGAGAGACTTGGGAGGAACCTCCCCATCTTCCTTCCATCACCCAGAAAAGGATACTTACTGAAAAACCAGATCCCAACAATCACACACAGCAGGACAATGCAACCAATTGTCACAGCCACAATGCAACCGATGATGAGCCCCACGGAGTTCCCCATGGATTTTGGTTCTGAATTGGGAGACAAAGCAGATAATTGAAGGAGAACCTCAATCATCCCAATTGGGAGAGAGACCTAAAATAGCAAAAGCTGGAAATTCCCCCAATTAAAAACTTCTATGGGTTCCTCTTCGTGTCCCTCTAAGGGTAGCACGAAGGCTCCTTGTTAACCACGGTTAGAGGACGTGTCCTCCTGATGCTGCCTCCTTCTCTCCCCAGCCCAGCATGAAGGCAGCTGAATTCATCTTTGGCTTTTCCACTCAAAAGCAGCCCTTTGCCATCTTGTCACTCTCAGCAGCTTACAAAACAAAAACTCCACCAACACAATACTGGTGAACAATACAATAACATTTGGTAAACAACAGGTTTTGTTCTGTTTAGAAGCTGCCCCAGTTCGTCATAAATTGGGCAGTTCTGTAAGTTATGTTTTTTCTTCAGTTTGAGTGTTTGTGTTTTATTATTTAAAGTAAGAGTTCATACCATCTAGCCCTTTTTTAAGTATACATTTTCATTTCTTTGGCCAGTCAAAAAATAGCAAAAAGTTATATTTTGTGCTTCCAGAACTTCAGCATGAAAAATGGAATATGGTGACATCCAACTTCTGGATGGTCTCAGGAATGACAGAAACAGAATAACAGATTTTGAAGGGACCTTGGAGGTCTTCTAGCTCAACCCCCTGCTCAAGCATTCCAGACAAGTGGCTGTCCAGTCTCTTCTTAGATGCCTCCAGTGATGGAGCACCCATAACTTCTGAAGGCAACCCATTCCACTGGTTTATTGTTCTCATTGTCAGGAAATTTCTCCTAATTGCTTTCTCTCCTTCTTTAATTTCCATCCATCGTTTCTTGTCCTGCCCTCTGGTGCTTTGGAAATTAAGTTGACCCCCCCCCTCTTTGTGGTAGCCTCTCAAATATTGGAATACTTGTTTCATGACACCCCCCCCCCCCAGTCCTTCTTTTCTCTAGACTGGCCAAACCCAAAACCTGCAACTGTTCTTCACGTTTTGGTCTCCAGGCCTTTAATCATCCTAGTTGCTCTTCTTTGCACTTTTCCTCAAAGTCTCAACATCTTTTTTGTAGTGTGGTGACCAAAACTGCCTCCAAGTTGCACTTTGTTGTGGGTGCTCCAGTGGTTTATTGTTCTCACTGTCAGGAAATTTCTCCTTAGAGAAGAGCTTCTCTCCTTGTTTAGTTTCCATCCGTTGCTTCTTGTCCTGCCCTCTGGTGCTTTGGAGAATAGCTTGACTCCCTCTTCTTTGAGGCAGCCCCTGAGATATTGGAACACTGCTATCCTGTCCCCCCTCGTCCTTCTCTTCATTAGATTAGACATACCCAATTCCAGCAATTGTTCCTTATCTGTTTTAGCCTCCAGTCCCCTGATCATCTTTGTTGCTCTTCTCTGCACTCTTTCTAGAGTCTCAACATCTTTTTTATAGCGTGGCGACCAAAACTGGATGCAATGTTCAAAGTAGGATCTTACCAAAGCATTATAAAGTGGCACTGCTTTGGGAGTCAGTTCTGAGGAGGGGAACTTTAAATTTAATTTTCTCTTGCAAAAAAACTCAGGACTCCTACTGAATAGCTATCATGCCATTTGTGAATTGATACTCACTAAAAACAACAAAAACAAATAAATATTTTACTTTGCCTGGGCTATCAGCATAAAAATTAAATTTGAACGGGTTTTTTTGTATTGTGGTGACAATCATTAATAAAACATTTAAACTTGAATTCTGCAATTTTGGAAGTCCACTGTAAAAAATGTTATGGGCAGTTATGAGCATGTGCAGAGTTCTTTGAGAAAGGGCTTTTTTCTGAGGTTTTATGCTGAGCCTCAGGAATTCCCATATCATATCATAAAATAATATGTAATTTCTTTCAAACAGCGGCAACAAACAATATTTTGACCTTTTCAACAGGAAAACCGTGTTAGTCTCTGATGGCAAAAACTCAGACTTGGTAGGATTTCATCAGGATCTGCCAACTCTTGTGAGGGGATTCTGGAGATTCCTTTACATCCCCTGAAGCCAGTTCTATGGTCTGGTCCCTGCAGCTTCACCAACCTCAAACACTGGAAAAACCAATGGCTTAAAGGTCAGGTAAGCTCACATCTGGACACAGCTGGGGTCAGATTCCTCTCCCACAACCCTCCAGCCTGCCAAAGAGCCCAGACTTTCCCTCCCTCCAGCCTCTCACCCTCCAGGGCCACGTCCAGAGGCTCCTCCAGGCCGTCATGCTCAACGTGGCACCGATAGTGGCTCCTCTCTTTGGGATCGATCCGGATGCTGAGCCAGGCGTGGAAGGTCCCATCCGCATTGGGGGCCACGGAGCCATGGAGGGTGTCGTACAGCCAGACCTCCCCGTCCCTCGTCCAGGAGGCATCGATCTCCCTGGGGTAGAAGCCATCTAGGCGGCAGACGTGCATCTCCATCCCATCCTCCATGTCCTTCGTCCTGCTGCTCACGGTCACCTCTGGGGGCTCTGCAGAAATGGCACCCCCGGAATTAACTGTGAGCCCCTCCAGAGCCTGGAAGGTGGGTGGGAAACTCAGAGGGGCAGGAAAGCCTCCCACTACTTCCCACTCCACACCTGCAGTGTCTCCAAGAGTTTTAGGAAATGCTCCAGATCTGGAAAATGCTCAACCACAAGAACTCCTGATTCTGAGTCCTTCCCAGGGACTCAGCCTGAAAAACCTCCAGCAGCAAATTGAGGGTCCAAGGAAATTCCTCTCTGGCTGCTTTGAACTCTGAGTGATCTTGGATTGTTTCCTTCAAGGGATGGAAAGTGGAGCTGCTCTTTTAAGTTCCCTTTCAAGACAACAACAACACAGAGGTTTCTCTCTACTTTTGTGGTTTCCTTCTGCTCCCCTGAATCTGAGGCTGCTCCAGGCCTCTTTCCAAGGGACACAAACACAATTTCAAGAAGAGGAGAGCCAGAATCAAAGGAAAAAGGGGCTCAGGGCTTTTGCAATTTCTGACTGATTATTTTGGAGAAGAGATGTGCTGGACCAGGTTGTAGCCAGCTAGAACTGTGTTAGAGTATTTAGCATTTACAGGGTTAATGTTGTATTATTGAGAGAACTGTATGTTAATTAATCCTGGGGCAAAACCTTGGCCTTTTTTGCCCAAGTGGGGGCACTGATGATGTCTTATTAATGGTAGAAGTGGAGCCCCCTAGTGGTGGTGGTGGGAGGTGCACCATCAGGGGAAGGGCAGGAGCCCCCTGTGGGATGTGGGCGGAAGGATAGTTAATGGGGGAAAATTAAGGGTGCCCCTCACACTTCATTACAGTTCGGCTAATGGGGATTTCACTGAAGAAACCCAAATGCCCTTGTTGCCTCATTGTGGGCTGTGAACAGGACACCCCCAAGGAAAGTCCAGCCTGCATCCAGTTGCTCACCTTTCTTGAGCAGTGTCTCCTTCCCGTAGGACAGCAACTTCTCCAGCCACTCAATGCATTCTTCCTCCAGGTAGGCCTTCTCTCTCTGATTATATCCTGGAACAGCGTCCCAATTCCTCTGGATGATCTGGGCCTGGGGGTCGGCAGCCACCCAGGTGAGTCTCTCTTTGTCAAAGGTGAGGAAGGTCCTCCCATCGTAGCCAAACTGCATAAACCCTCCTTTGCTCCCGTCTCCCAGGAGCTCACAGCCATACATCCACTGCCACGTGTGAAGGCCTGAAATAGGGACAAGATGATGGTTTGGGGAGTCCTCAAGATAGACACAGAACCCCTTCCCTGCAGGGACTTTGACACAGGCATTGACACCCCCATTTCCTCCCTAGCATTCAAGGGAAAGAAAGCCCCCATCACTAGCTGCCCTTCTCCCCTCCCTCGACCTCCCTCCCTCCATTCCCCCCCCCAGGATGGAGACCCTGAACCCCCCCAGGAAAAGGGAAGCTGGAAAAGCCAGCAGAGGATCCTGAGGGAGACCGAGAAAAGAAGGAGTCGCAGAAGAAACAGAGGGATGGAGCCTCCTCCATCTTTCCTTCTGCCATTCCTCTGTTGGGGGGAAAGGAAGGGATCCCAGAGAGGGAACATTTGCATGAATCTGCAGCTGCAAAGAGGGACTGAGAATCTCGTGGCCTCAGGGAGAATCTGGTCGATCTGCAAAGAAGCTTGCAAGGATCCCTGCGACCATAAATCTTGATCCATGTTCACAAATATCAGCAAGTCACAAGGCTGGCTCCATTTTTGGGCTAACCAGAAACAAACCTGGCTTTGTACATTGTGGGAATGAAGCCTTGAAGGGCCACAAAGGAATATTTTCCTTAGCAACAGCAGCAAGTGGCCCAATCTGATCTGCACCCCCCAAAGGGTTATTGACCTTTGAAATGAAGTTTGAACGTTACAGTCTTTGCAAGGTCCTGGAGAAAATATTTTGACTTTAAGTGACCAGATTCTAGGATTTAAAAGAAAAGTGAATGTTTGAAAAAAACAAAAGGAAATGTTTCAATGTTTCTACTTCTGGTTGGGCTTGAGAGTGAGGAAGGATGCCAGAAACTCTCAAATCTGAGGGAAAACCACTTGTAAGTACAGTTGAACTAAATTGACCAGTCCTTTCCCTCCCTTTCCACTCCCATGAGTGACCGGGTGATGGGATCCTTTCTCTGCAGCTTCTGCTCAGCCTGAGACCTTCCCTTTGGAGGGAGAGGAAGATCCTCCTGAGCTGAGTCTGATCCTGCCCTCCAGAGGAGATTCCATGATCTGCCCAGGGGGAAAAAAAGGTTCTGGATTTCTGCCCAAGAAGAGTCTCCTGCCATTCACAGGAAGGCACTGAAAATCTGGCTGCAGTTTTCAACTTCTGAGAACCAGCTCTGTCTTATTTCAGAAGCATCAAAAGTTAAGACAGAAACCGTCTTATTTCAGTTGAAGATGAAATCTGTGTTCATTGCACGTTTGGCACAGAATTGAATATTTGTGCTGGGGGAAAAAGCACAGGGATCACATTGAAAAGGCAAGATTCATTTTTTTATTATTAGTGTAAGAACGCTGTTAATGCATCTCTACAGATCTACGCAAGAAATAATTCTGCTGGAAGTTCTAAGGTTCCTCCTGGGTCAAAAGGTTAAGAAAGGCTACTTTAGAGAGACTAAAATATATTTATATTTATAACAGCTTCTCTATGTCTTTTTTCTTTATCTTCTTTCATTTCTTTTCTTTTCTTGTACTTTATTCCTTTTTTATTTTTTTCTTTTATCTCCTTTATGTTACTTTCTATTAGTTTTTATCTTTTGTTGAAAAGGTTCAATACAAATTATATCAAAAAATAAAAAAGGCAAACAGGATATCAGAGATCATTAAAATGGTACTGAAAACACGGAGGCTAATGTCACAAAGCCTTTATGTAAATCAAGGGTGCGACCACATCTGGAATATCGGGTGTTCCGGGACCTGAACTAAGATGCTTTGTAATTCAGGTCCAGGCAGAGTCAGCTCAACGATAAAATGGTCTTAAAACAAATATTTATTCCAGGAATTCTTAGCAGAACTTACTATTCTAAAGATGCTTCCGGATGTGTACATTTGTCCATTTTACATAGGTAAAAAAAGTAATTCCTTCATACCAGCTCTAGCGTGGTTGTAGACGATGTCCCTCTGCATGCATCCCCATGCTGATTTCACACGAAGGCATTCTTTCACAAGCTGGCACGTAGCCAGGATATCCTGTGATGAACTTAGTGGCCCCTCCCACTGACTTGATGAATATAGAATTCACTAAATAGCTAAACTACATTACCCATAAGCCATTGCTTAAGGAGACAGTGCTTAACCCTTTAAATGCCAAACATTCTAACATACAGTTCTCATCTAACTGGCTAGTCCAGCACATTGAGTGCAGTTCTGGTCACCAGGCCTCAAAAAGGACAGGAGGGAACTGGGGAAGGTCTAGAGTAGGTGACCCAGAGGATGGGAGGTTTGAAGCAGCCTTTGAAGGCCAGGACCTCCCAACTTTCATGGGGGGGGAGGGGAGATTTCGGTCTCTTTGAACCTCAGTTTATCTCCATATCCACATCCTATCAATAGACAGAGAAATGGAGGGATAACTTTTTAAAAAATGTTTTTATTAACTGTAATTGGGAGAAAACATCAGCTATGGAGGCAACGACAAGCTTATATTGATTTGAAAAAAAGAATAAACATAATAAAAACCTTTTTAAATGTGGGGAAGCAGCCTTTCTCTTTGAAGGGACCCCCCTTTCTCTCCCCCTCTGGTTCCTGGGGAGGAGATTATGGGGCAGGAGGAGCCACCCGACCCATCACTCACCTTCATTCTGATTGTAGAGAAGCCTCAGAATCTCCAAGTTTTTTCTGAACGGCTCCTCATTCCCACGTTGAATCTGGGTCTGAGTGTCCCAGTATTGGGGGTCTTCCTTCCCCACCATCCAGGAGACTCGAGGCTGCATCCTCCGGCTGTTGCTGTCGTAATGAACAAAGACCTGACCGTCCACGCACCCCAGAAGGACATAATGGGGCTGCCCCTGACTGGGCTCCGAGATGGCAGTGGAAAAATACTTCAGGGAGTGCGAGGAGGTGCCTGGAAGGGACCCAGAGGGGCAGAGTTAGGGGGCTCTAGTCAAGGACCCTCATCCTATGGAGGGGAAAGGAAGGGGGAGAGGATAGAAGTGGAGGCAGGAGGTGGAAGGAGGGAGTGGCTGAGAAGGAAAAAAGCAGCTTCTGGAGGGCCTGAAGGGTTGGAGGGCAGGGAAGGTGGGATGTGAGAGAGGAGGGGAAGGTCAGGTCCCCTAAACTTTATCTGCCCCAATTGCACACACCCCCTTCCAGCAAGGCCTTCCACAAAGCATGAGAGGAGGTTGATCGTGGCTACCCAACTCTTCACATGATCAGTGACTCTCAACGTAAAGGCCTAAATTAGAGTTTCTCAGACTCAGCCACTTGGACTTCAACTCCCAGAATTCCCCTCACCCGGAAGAAACCCATGGGGCCTCTCCACCCGGGCCCCACCCCCTGCCCCCACTGAGGCTGCTTGGGAGTTCCTGCTGCCAACTCCCGTATTGGGTGGGGTGGGGTACTCTGCTGGGGTGCTCTCCCCAAACTCAGCCTCTGTATAGAGGGTCCTGTCACCTTTAAAGCCCCTCTGGTGAACCAAAGATAAATATACAACTGTCAACATTGCTAACATCCGATGTTTTTGCATTGACAACAGATGGAGATGCAGCCTTTTTCTTCTTTTGCTTTTAGATTTAGATGATGCTGGGGAGGGGGGGAATATGCATGGGAGTCTAGCTAGACATAATAACACTGGACCTCGTGTGAGAATCAAGGTTATTGAAATAAGAGATGATAAGAATTGGCCGGGCTGAAGAGTTGGAAAGGAAGCCCCCCCCCTTTAAACTAATTGGGGAATGTGATCTATGACTGTTAACTGGAGGAGGGAATTGTGCTTCGAATATGCTCAGGGGAGGGGAATTCAGTTTCGGATTTTGCTTATATTAGTTGCCATGCTATGCTACTCAAAAATCCTTTGAAGAGTTTCATCTGTCGGAACCATGACAACATTATTTCAGTTTCTATCATACAGTCCAGTCCCTCCAGTATGGTCCCCCAGTCCTTCCCAGTCTCCCAAGGCAAAGGCCTCGGCCTCCTTCTTCCTGCTCCTCCCCACAATCCCAGCGGCTTCTCAGAGCTTTTGGGGAGAGGGATCTCTGGGGAGATTTCAAACAGATCAGAGCTTTTCTCTGACAGAAAGAGGGGGGATCGGACCCTCCATGATCCAGACCCCGCTTCTTCCCCTCGTGGGGCTGAGCAGTGAGGGAGTCTGAAGTCTGCCTGAGAGGAGAAACATGTGAATGTAACACAGGTTTGGCGTCCTCACAATCCTGAATCCTCCTGAGGTCAGGAAGGGCTGGTCAGTTTGGGCCTGTCTGTGTCCAAGCAAGCCCTTCATTTCAGGTTCTCCATCCAGAGGGGCTTCTCTCCTCCTGCCTCCAGCCCAGACTATCTAATCAATCCTGTTAGCCTTTTTTCCTGTCTTTTAAAAAGTTGCTGCATTGATAGTTTCTCTGAGGAACAACTAGGGACACCCCAAGACCTGGGAAGATTCTGGAAAAGATAATCAAACAACAAATCAGCGAACACCTAGAGGCAAACAAAATCACTACTAAAAGCCAACACGGGTTTGTCAAAAACAGACAAACCTTATTGTATTCTTTGACCAAGTGACAAAATTAGTGGATCAGAGGAATGCTGTGGATATAATTTACTTGGACTTCAGTAAGGCATTTGATAAAGTAGATCACAACCTATTACTCGATAAGATAGAAAAATGTGGGTTAGACAGCATCACCACCAACTGGATTTGTAGCTGGCTGACCGGCCGTACTCAACGTGTGGTCCTCAATGGAACCACATCTACATGGAGGGAAGTGTGTAGTGGGGTGCCCCAGGGCTCTGTTCTGGGCCCAGCGCTCTTCAACATCTTCATCAATGATCTGGACGAGGGGATAGATGGGGAACTCATCAAGTTTGCAGATGACACCAAGCTGGCAGGAATAGCCAACACTCCAGAAGACAATGGGCGCTATCTAACAAAATGAAATTCAATCGTGAAAAAAGTAAGGTTCTACATTTAGGCAAGAAAAACCAAATGCACAGCTATAGTATAGGTGGTACCTTGCTCAATAGTAGTAACTGTGAGAGGGATCTCGGAGCCCTAGTGGACAATCACTTAAATATGAGCCAGCAGTGTGCTGCAGCTGCCAAAAAAGCCAACACAGTGCTGGGCTGCATTAACAGAGGGATAGAATCAAGGTCATGTGAAGTATTAATACCACTTTACAATGCCTTGGTAAGGCCACACGTGGAATACTGCATCCAGTTTTGGTCACCACGATGTAAAAAAGATGCTGAGACTCTAGAAAGAGTATAGAGAAGAACAACAAAGATGATTAGGGGACTGGAGGCTAAAATATATAAGGAACGGTTGCTAGAATTGGGTATGTCTAGTTTAACGAAGAGAAGGACGAGGGGGGACATGATAGCAGTGTTCCAATATCTCAGGGGCTGCCACAAAGAAGAGGGAGTCAAGCTATTCTCCAAGGCGCCTGAAGGCAGGACAAGAAGCAACGGGTGGAAACTAATCAAGGAGAGAAGCAACCTAGAACTAAGGAGAAACTTCCTGACAGTTAGAACAATTAACCAGTGGAACAAC